GGGGGCCGTGGTGACGCTCTCCCACGACCAGATGATTGACTTGCTGCGGACGTCCGTCACGGTGAAAGTGGTCATCATCCCGCCCCACGAGGACGGCGTCCCTCGCAGGTACCCCGGCTTTGGGCACCGGCTGCGGCAGCGCTCGCAGCCCAGCTGGGCTCACTGCCCTTGGGCCCTCTGCTCCAGAGGGAGCCGCTGTGGAGGCTGCGTTAAAAGGGGAGTCAGCTGCAGGTGATGCGAGTTCAGGGCCCAGCCTGGGCCCCCTTGCTGCTAGGCAGCTGGCTGTGGGGCCAGGGAAGATGGGGCCAGGGCCCTGGCCATCTGTGCAGCAGGAGCTTTGCACCCCAAGCTGCGTCCTCGCCGGGCGTTGCTCGCTCGTCGGCCTTGGGCCTGTTTGTGAACAGATCTGCATGTGGCCCTTGCAGCTCTCGGCGCTGTGACTTCCGCACCGCGCCTGCCCTGGGGCTCCACAGGGCAAGTCAAGACACTGACGCTTGCAGGCTTCTCCCAAACCCCAGCCCAGCTGTGGGCCGAGCTCCGCATCGGAGCGGGGGCCCTTGGAGTGCAGGGTTGGGAGCCGTGTTTTCTGCTCGGCAGCTGGAAGGCTGAAGTCTTAGGGCAGGACACAGGTAGCATAAGGGCCACAGCTAGGGGGGAGCTGGGTGAAATTGGTTCTGTCCTAGCGCTCGGCCTGGCTGGCGCGGCCGGTGTCAGGCGCACGAAGTCACTGGGGCCAGCCCCGAGTCTCATGGGGCCTGCCCGCGCTGGGGAGGCAGAGGTACTGGGAACAGCAGCGGGGACTTGCAGCGTGGCTCTCCCGGCCCGCACCGCAGCACCCGCCTGCCGTGCTGCTGTTCAGCACCGCCCAGTGCGGTGAGCGAGAGGTGAGCGAGAGCTGGCACGTGGCCGTGGTCTCAGCGCGCTGGTGCTGCACGCTCACGTCTTTGTGCCACGAGAGGTTTTAGCCATCGAGTCGAGGGGCCCGGTGTATTTTACCGCCCGTCCGTTGGTTCACTCCCCTGTCTGCGTAGGGGGCTGGAGGGGAGGAAGCGGGGCGGTCCGGAACCCTGGGCATTGCCAGCCTGCTGCCATTTCCCGCAGGCCCTTCCCTCTGGGCCACGTCGACAGGAGCGCTGTGAGCACGGCGCGAGGAGTCGCTCTCCCGCTGAGGCCTCCGCTGGCGGATTGGGTCCCGTTCTGGGCACCGCATTTCAGGAAAGCTGGGGAGAAATTGGACAGGGCCCGGAGAAGAGCAACACCAATGCTGGAAGGTCTAGAGAACATGAGCTAGGAGGGCGGACTGACAGAACGGGGCTTGGTTAGTTTGGGAAGGAGCAGACTGAGGGGACATGCCAGCGGCTTTCAAGTACTAAAAGTGTGTCACAAGGTGGAGGGGGAAACATTGTTCCCCTCGGCCTCTGAGGACAGGCCAAGCAGCAAGGGGCTCACACTGCAGCCAGGGAGGTTGTTGGACATGAGGGAAGACTTCCTGCCTGCCAGGGGGGTGAAACACTGGGCTAAGTTGCCCAGAGAGGCTGTTTAAATCTCCATCCCTGGGGATATTTCAGAGCAGGGCTGGGTTAGACAGTGCTTGGCCCTGCTGTGGGGGCCGGGGACAGGCCGTGCTGACCCCTCGAGGTCCCTGCCCGTCCCAGTAGGAAGGATTCAGTGGGACATGCTCTTCCTGGTAACTGAAAGCCGCGTCGGGCGTCCAGGCGCCTCCTGTGGGCAGGCGGCTGGGCCCAGTTTTCTCCTCCGGGGCTTGGTTCTGTGCCCCGGCTCGAAGGGCTCAGGAGCCCTTTCCTGCTCCAGGCTCTGGCCCTGCCCTTGGGCCGGGCGCTTTGCGCTGGCATTTCCTTGCTCCCTGCCAGGCCTGCGCGGGGCCAGCGGCTGAGGGCTCCGCGTGCCTAGCCGGAGCGTGGGGCCAGGAATCGCTCCGGGCGCCGTTTGGCCTCTGCAGCAATGGGATGCTCAGGAGCCTTTTGGCGGCAGGGCCGTGGGCCGGGGCGGCAGGCCGCTGACCCGAGCTGAGCGGGGGCTCTGCCTGCCCGGGCTGCGAGCGCCAGGGAGCTGTGACTCTGCCCGGGGCTGGTGGGCTTTCCCCAGCCCGG